ATATAAATATATAAATATATATAAATATTTGAATATTTTTTTACCTCTGGCTTAAGAGACTTTAACTCGGTTTCTCGAGCAGCGATATTAGACTTCAACTTTTCCAACTCTTGTTGAGCTCGTTTCTTGCTGTCATTATCACCTTTTACTTCTTCTAGCAAGTCGTTAATAGTGAAAGTTAATTTGTTTTTTTCTTTCAGCAATTGCTGTTGCTCTGCACTATATTTTACAAACATTTTATTACAAATATTTCTCTGCTGTTTTTTATATGCAATTTTTAGTATATGTATTACCTAAGAGTATCTCTTTCTTCTTTGGCAGTTTGCACTTCCTTTTTTGCTTCCTTTAGCCTCTTCGTAGCTGCACGTACCATTTCTTGCGCTGTTTTAGCTTCGGCACCTAATCTCGCCTGTTCGGCTCCACTATTTGCTCTAGACTCCTCGAGCTCTTCTAATTTTCTTTTATTTTCTTTAAGTTCACGTTCATGGATCGTATATTCTAAACAACGACGTTGTTTGTCCCAACGTTGATATTCTTTCAGTTCTTCCTTCTCTTCTTCAAGTGTTTGCAAACGCTCTTCTACAATATAAAATAATTATTTATTCATTTTACTTCATTTATTTTAAATAATTCTTTAAGTTTTTGACCTATTGTTCGCAGAAAATCCTCGATTTTTTCTAGTTTTCCTTCTGTTTCTTTCAAAATAGATTTTGATTCTTCTCTTCTATCATCATATACTCTAGTACCTGCTACCTCTCTTAATAATTTCAATCTGTGGGAATCTGGTGCTGTTGCCATTTGGTTTATCTGCAAAACAATTATATTATACTACAGATAAATATAAATATGCTACATTAAAAAAAACAAACCTTTCCTTGCTTCACAATATAATACGGATTAGACCTAGAAAATCCTGCCGACTCTAATAAATTCATTACATCATTCCTTGTTACAATCTTTTTGTTGAGAAAATATTGGTCTTTCTTGGAGCCGATTACTCTTCTTAAATAAACTTCATCTTTATCGATCTGAATAAAAGACAAAATTATATATATTATGAACATATTGATAAAATCTAAAATCATATTAAATATATGTATATTTAAATATTTTACATACGTACTATACACGTACGTATATACGTACGTACACATATACGCACATACGTATGCATATATATATATACACACACATACACACGCACACACGCGCGCGCGTTTAAACAACTAGTGTGACATAAACTACTGATTTTTACCGGTAATCTTCCATCAGAATTATCAAATATGATTTCTACATGGGCAGATATAACACGAGGTCCTGTTCCTTCATGCAACAGTCCCTGTCTCTGATCTGGTCTGAGATGAGAGAATTCATCACTAAGGACAAATTGAATCGCGTAAAAGAAGTTACTCTTTCCAGAACCGTTTCTGCCAACTTAGAAGAAAAGTGTTCAGTTACAATGTATATGTATAATCATATCAATTATTAACTGCATATCAATTCTGCATAAGATTATCAGTTACATACCCACTACATTGTGTCTTGGATCAAAAGGCTCAACAACTGTCTGTTCACGATATGACTTAAATCCTTGGATAATTACCTGTTTCAACATAAACCCATCAGAGAAATCGCAATAATAACAATGTATTGATGCTCCGAATTAATATATTAGCTTTAGAAATTCGACAGTAACTTACAATTCATGATAATATACAATTCATGCATATAAAACCTCAATAATAATCCAATCAAGAATTAGAATGGAAGCAATGCAAGAAAGGTGAATAAAGTCACATAAAGAAAAGACGAAGCGTAACTCCGTCTCAAGAATGATGTGTTGCGACACAAATACAATTTGCTTACAAACCTGTTTAATGTACATGATGTGATGAGAAGTCTGACGTACGTATCATTCGTAATGTTACTCCAAAATACGATCGAGCATACGAGACGCGACGAAAACATTCGACCGATTTGTTGGTAGAGCCCGCAAAAGCGACATTTGTATAACATGCAGGTTGGCGATTACAAAAAGACCCTAGGTTTGGGCGGGAGACGCCATGAGCCTAGCTTAAGGTGCCATTACATAAAAGAGTCAAATATCGAGCATCATGAACTTACATGCCTTTTCATACTAATTCTTGACCACAGTATATATAGTTAACAGTAGCACAATTCTGTCGGAACCTTTGATTGGCCAAAATGGAATGCGCATGCGCGAAATAAGTAACGCCATTTAAATTTCTTTCTCAGTTGCTCTTTGTTTTTCTATTCTCTCTCTAGGTCGTTTGTACATAGCCGGTCACAGAAAGGTTGCAACACTTTTTTTCGATGGGTTTTGGAATGCAGCATACTCATCAAGCGATTAGTTCTTATTTGTATATCTATGAATAAGAACCAATCGCTCGATAAGCAAACTGCATTCCGAAACACATCGAAAAAAAAGGTGCAACTTTTCTGTCCAATAAATACTATTTGTTGCAGTAATATAATGTGGAAATAACGAATATTATAACATGTAAAGTTACTTTTATGATAAAACTGTTATATAACCAGATAATTATGGAATATTACAATGTTTACAGTATGAAGTATACTGCAATTTAATATTGTTACATCAATATGGCATAATTTTTTTCTATACATATTATATAATTCAGTTACAAAAATGGTTATTGAAGAAATTTCCGTTGTGATAGTTTAAAAACAGTTTCAAACAATTATTATCCATTATTGGATTAGATTATTACAGTGAATTAGATTTTAAATTATGTTTAGTTTACACACACGCGCACACACACACACACACACACACACCGCGCGCGCGCGCGAACGAAAATGAAATATTGCCCACTGATTTGTCCAAAACGTGTACTCAAGAAATAAAAATGAATAATAGTATAAATATAGGGATTCCAACCCACGGATACAGCAACCGGCAGATGCCTCTAGTGTCGCGCGGGAAGGGCGAAGTCACTGATACTGGATTTGTGGAAAGGGGAAGCGCGTCATCGGAGTTATCAGTATTAGAGGGGAAGAGGAGGTTTGTTCCTTCTTTCTTTCACCCGTTGCACTTCTATACTTATTATTTGTGATCTCTCTTTCTCCCGTTATGCTCTTTTTTTTCTTTTTTTGCATATGATTTTATTAAATAGATATAGTATTTACGATTTTTAATGATACGACTTAAAAACTAATTAAATATTTTTATGAATTTTTAATAATATAACCTAGTAACACTACTAATTATAATAATATTCTTTTTTTGTATAAATGTAATACAAATGGCTAAGCGTGCTTTCTTACTGACTAATTCAATACTACTGCGAAGATATGAAGAAGAAGTGGCAAAGATACTAAGGATAAAATAATTTTAGAAGAAAAGAACATATATTTTAACATACATTTATTTATCATGTAATACGGTACAATATAATAACCTATCTAAACCATAGACTATTAGTTCACATTCTATAATAGAATTTCTATCATAAATTTTGTATAAAGTATTTGCAGCATCACTTTTATTAGTAATATAATTTTGTCTTAAAAATGACACAAAATATTTGAATTTCTTACTAAATCGTGCGTATATTGACTCAGTTCATAGAATACATGTTCAACATACTCAAACTCAAATAAGAAAATAGTTGTGTCATGTACAAACATGTATGTGCCATTTAATGTTAGCTTCACGTTATTCGTACCATATATTTTAACAAGTTCCACATTTAGATCTTGAATTGGTGATGATGATGGGAATGTTGACTGCATTAATCGCTCGATATCTACACGTCTCTTGATGAATGTCTTCCATGTAGCAGAAGTATGAACATGCCGTTGCTTCGATTATCACTAATCGCAATTTGCACATGAGATATGGATCCTACAATGATCCCAATGTCCAGAAATTTGTACGCTATCGACATCAATGCATATTTTCTCATCAATATATGAGACATGTAGCGAGGTTTCGAAGATGTACTAGACGATGTTTGAGAAAATAGGTTTTGAAAAAAAGAAAAACATGTAAATAGATCTTACAAAAATACATAACGTATAATATGTGTAAGCAAAATATTTTATAAATATTTATTTTATAAAATTAAATGAACTTACTGTCCTTTGCACGTCTCATTCTATTGAATCGGAACGTAACAGTTCATAGCTTGAGATATTTTATTTTCTCGGAGAACTTATAATTAGCAATAGCTGCTTGAACTCTGTTGAAGCTCTCTGAACGATTAATGTGGTAATGTTTCCCGAAGCTCTTCTTTTAAACAGTGTTCCCTTTCACATTTTTTTTACACACCCTAAAATGGAAGGGATTTTTTTTTATATACATTATATTTTGAAGAACAGTTGTGACGTGGTCGAAGGAAGGACCAAATTGACATACATTATAAGAATGCATTCTAACGATATCGAATCTTTTTTATCTAAGGGATCGGCGCCAATGACAATAAAGTCTGTCTG